TGTATTATGTCATACCGCTTGATTAAACAAAGCTGAGATGGGCCTATCCATCGATACCCTTGCCTTGTTATAAAGTGGGTACCTTTGTGTAGATATCTATGCTTGTATTGATTCATTTGCTATTTCTTTCTGTATTTCTTCAGAACTGCATTATCTGAATATAATCTGAGTTGCAAGGATTATCTCGTCGTGAGGTCAAATCCTAAACTATTATGTTAAAAAGTGCCCACAATCTTCTAATGTTTCTAATGTCCATAAAACCGATTTTCTTTGTAGGCCGGAAAATTACAGTCAGGAATTCCTCTAAACTATATCATCCAAATTATGTGGTGAAGTGTTTCAAAGCAACACTTTCGTGCTACCTTCCACAGTTTCTGAGAGACGGGCATGTAATACGTAATCGCTCTAACACTTTCACAGACCAATCTTTGGACTGTTTGCTGTTGGCGCCTTTGGCAAGTATGTGACTGTCTGGATGTTCAACCCACTGAATGTCCAATCTCGTTTAGTACGAAAGCGTCCAGTTAGCTCATGACAATTAGTTTGCATTTAGGATAGCCTGTGTGGTACTGAGTAGTATGTGAGTGAATATAACTCTCACGCAGTGTCACTTATGGGATGGGAACTGCTTCTAATCTGTGAGAAAGCCCATGGGTAACCCTTGTGGTACAGTTACTGTACAAGAAGTGCAATTTACATATTAATAATTCGTTTTAGATATTCATGTTTCAAGTTACCATTGTAAATGTGTCAAAGTAGAGATTATTGGTTATATATTTGCACAAATTTAGTTTAAAAAAGAAAGCAGTCCTCTAACAAATGTTATCAATTTATGCGAAATGAAACTTTGCGGCATGTGATAGTACCCATTTGACTTGGCCGTATCATTACGTTAGCGTGCAGTGTACTGTTAGTTAGTTACATTGACGCTGAACATGCATGACAAAAGGAGCAACACGTTCCACGACTAGCCAGGAAGAAATATTGTGTAAAATACTAAACTGTAAAATCTTATTTAATACCATGGTAATATTCATGAATATTTAAGAACTGCAATCTATCATAGCGAATTATCTAACGAAAAACATTACATTATACAATACAAATTCTCATTCAAGAACTGTTTTATCCATTTTACCACAAAACGAGAAAAGAATTTTGGAGAGGTTATCACATTTCTGTGGCAAGGTTAGAATGTATGTGTGAGAGTTACTCATGGTAAGAACTGTGGCTGGTAACTGAAGAGAGCGTGGTCAGTGTATGAGAAACTCTCATTATATCTTAGCCATTTCTTAGGTTATGTTTTGTTTTAACGAATTCTTACTTTTTCTCACTACAAAATTTATCTACTTCTTCAAATAACTGAGGCGAAAAATATGTCCATAATCGCCATATGAATCTCGATTTTCCCCTGGAAACAGATTCCAGTAGGTTTAAAAGGCAAAATAGCTGTCCAAACGTTATGAATGAATCACTGAACAGCCAGCAATTATATCAGGTGTTTGTGAAAACTGACGTCAGTACCCGCCACTCACACAATCCTATGAAACAGTAACCTCACATCACACAACAGTGTGGGAAAGCTGGACGGAAAGGAGATTCCCACTATTTCATAAACACGTGTTTATGGATCTCTGCCAAATACTCATGATACCAGTTTGGGCAAAAAGGTGAGAGTATTTGTCACAAACACACGCAAAGGAACATCAACTAGAAGCAAGCTGAAACATATATGGTGAAAGTTCAGAAAGAGAATTGCATCGGAAATATCCCCCATGTACTCTATTCAATGACACGTAAAATGCTGTATTAGATTGTGTACCTTGATTTGTTGTGCATGGGTTGGTGTAGTGGTACGTCTTGCCAAATGAGCTAATTCTCCAAACACTCCATGATATCAGCTTTTTCACAAATGCTGCCGTGGGTTTAAAGTCACTTCTTCATGAAAATGACCTAATTTGATCCGACACAACCGAATTTGATAACTGAACTTTGAAATTTACGAAATTAGACACGACGGACAGGCACACTTTTACGCCATCATTCTCTCGAAGTAAGTTAATCAGAAAGAGATTATATATATCTCCCCGCTGGCATCACATATTTCCGTGACCCTTACAGTGTTGTAACCATCCTGCAGCAGTGTTCTGTCTTCAGACCAATGTCAGTGCCAGCTACAGATGGGAATATATCTGCATCACCATGTCAGAGTTCCATGTAGGCTGGGGGCCTGGTCCCCGCTATTCAGCCATATATGACGTCAACAGGTTTACAACTGTATAACGTTCTGTAGTCATTTCATCCAGCACTGACATGTGTTCTTGGTGGCAAAATATTATATCCAGGTACATACACAACTTATTACCCAATACAGCTCAATGTAATATTTTGTATTTCCCAACATATCACTTGTCACTATGGTTACCGTTATAGCCGCTGTACGCTCCTCCACGTCCCTGTTGTAATGGTATAGATACCAGCATGCGAGACCCTGAATGTGTGCATTGTATCTGTAACCCTAAACATTCACAATATTTAAGATTGCTTCATCCAAATGATCCTCGGATGAAATTGAAAACAGGAAAGCAATTTAGAATAGAAAATACCAAAAAAAGATATTCAGATTTAACGCTTCAAAACACATTGTAATAACAAGTCTTGATTAAGAGGCCAGTGTTATCGACCGAACACAGAACCCATGATCATATCGAATTCACGTTTCACAATAATTTGTTCCTCAACGCGCATCTCTAATCTTGCAAAATTTTGTATTTTCATACCCTTATATCAAAGCAATCTTTCATAACCTTACTCCAGGTAGTCAGTTTCGGGATGTGATTCAACGGGAGGTCTTCAACAATGCCTAAAACCCTCTTCTTTGAAATATTGAATGTAATAGATGAAATCAGAATGCAGGGGATGATGTGATTGCAGACGATTGTGTGACGTTTTGGGTACATTTTCCGTTCGGGGTTTGCCATATAATAAGTCACAGTAGACGCTCTCAATCGGGGCTCCTTTCCGCTTGTCTCTTCACGCACTACATATTGTGAACTGGTATGCAGGATAGCCATGTCAAGCGAAGATCCTGGCGAGATGAATCAACACCTTACCAGGATCGTATGAACATTGTACAGTGAATATGATCAATTGTCGGTGGGCTCGTTTACCAAACCAAGTTTAGAGTTGAGAAATCATTCCAACTATTTTCGTATAGAACGACAGATTTGCTTTTGAAAGAAAGCCATGTGCATGCATGTTTTTGAGGATATTGTCAGAGCAGCAAGACCTTATGTAAGCTTCCTGGTTCCTGTATATTTATTAATTAAATAGGCATTATGCTTCCAATAAACCAGGGTTCAGGGAAGACACCATTACTTGGAAACAGATGTGTGGCATAAGTCTATGTTAGGGTATAGGAGGTACAACAGTCGTAGCGCTACGATAGCTTTGTGAAACCAAGCCTAGCTACCTAAGAAAACTTTCCCACTGTGCAGAAAAACGCAGAAAAGTCCACATCAATCGTGGAAATAGCAACATAAACATATTACCTCGCTACTGAAACAGTAAAAACAGAAACGAAAGACTATGAAACTGCAACATTTTGACCTTTGACCTCTACTGCGAATGCGCGTTACGATCCGAGCTTCTTCAAAATTTCCAAGCAACCGTGAATCGCCTTGCGTAGAAAAAGTATTGAATATGTCGAAATAATTGCTGTCAATCACTTAATATGAATGGAAAGTAAACTAAACAAGTTGCACACAAGTACGATTATGATAAATGCCAAATAACACAAGAGAAATACTTTAAAAAGCTTGTAACTTTTGTCCAAGCTGGAAAAAGACAACATACGGTGGAGGCTTCCTCTTCCATGCGCGCATGCGCAAAATCGAAGTTGCAGGCTCTTCGGGTTTGTTCCAGTTTTAGCGATTTAAAGTTGCTGTTTTTACTGTTTCAGTAGAGTGGTATTATGTTTATGTTGCTATTTCCACGATTAATGTGGGCTTTTCAGCGTTTTTTTCTGTACAGTGGGAAAGATTTCTTTTGTAGGCCTGGAAACGAGGCCCGGGATTTTACTTACGTTGAAAATGGTCGTTCGCTGGCTAATTACCTTATAACAACACGAAGACCATCCGACTTGCAGCCAATGGTTCATCTATACTGGACTCGATGTCTGACCACTCCGGTCTTATCTGTGATACTAACGCATCTGGTATACCAAACGTGTGTGAGATGCATGGTGGATGCGAGATTTTGAGTCGGTTTCAGGATGTAAATTGTCACTGGAATTGGGACACACGGCAACAAATTAAACTTAACCATGTGGCCAAGTTTATAGAGATCACATACAATCTGGATGGCTACCTATATTGGACGATCAGTTGTGTATTGTTTAATTGCAACATTAAACATTTTCGGAATTTGCCCGGATGTGATGAAAGACCAGAATACATATCATTCACAGATCTTTAACGCTGGACCATACTGCTCTGTGACGTCTTATGGCGAAAGACGAATACATTTCTATTAGTTTCCGGCCTGTAAACACGAGAAGTTACCAGTGAATGTCTGGACACAACAATACCAGTAGCCATGGCTGCTTGACTGATAATGTCCATCAAGAAAAAGAAGGAGCGTGATAACATTGTTCTCTCGCAGTACTTCCGATGTCACATAACGACGAAATCCGATGGCAAGAAAACGTCCATAAAACGTCGGTTTTTCGTAGAATGGACATATACAAAAAGGCGTTATCGTGTTTGCAATGTCATAACGTTTATCTGAGCAGGAACGTCATATAAGTCTAACCCTGCATATAATATTGTGTCTTCAATCCTCTCTATGAGGATTTGTACAACAAAAAGCCTTCTCTTGTTCCATATTTTGGGCTAAGAATTAAACCATTCATTTCTGCTGCCGGCATTGAGCTGGAAAATATATCTCCTTCCCGCCTTATCTCTTCTCTTCCTTGGCAATTAGTGAGACCAGAAGTTGACCTAACACTGACAATGTTTAAAAAATCAAACACCAATGAAGTACAATATAAACAAGAATATAATCAATTAAAAAGTAAAAATAATACATACAGATCCGTATTTACAGACGGGTCAAAGGACGATGGCGCAGTGGCTTATCGATTACCAGATCACAGCTCAATTTTTACAGCCGAAGCAAATGCCATATTAACAGCCTTAAAATATATTAAAAATCACCCTAAATGCAAACAATATAGAATCTTTTCAGACTCTTTTTCGTGCCTTCAGGCTATTAAAAGTCTTTCTTGTAAACATCCACTTTTATTAGAAATTATTGAATTGTATAATGATCTTGCTACTGGCCAATTCGACATTGTCCTTTGTTGGTTACCCAGCCACGTTGGCATTTCTGGGAACACCATGGCCGATCTTGCTGCTAAAGCAGTACTCTATGACACCACTTCTTATTCCATACTCTGATTACAAAGCTCTGATTAGATCGTACATCCGTGATCTGATGCAGAAGAAGTGGGACACCCAAGTAGGTATAAACAAATTACATGAAATAAAATCCTATATTGGTTACACGTACTTGGGTTGTCAGTCCAGATTTGAAGAGGTCATCATACGACGATGTCGTATTGGCCACAGAAGATACATTCATGCCTACCTATTGGAAGGTGAGGATCCTCCGTTTTGTATCCCTTGTGATGAGAGAACCATATTTTTCAATGTAAAAACAGTAAAGGACCTTTTTAATCAAGTTAATTATCATTTAATCATTGATTTTTTAAAAAAGGTAGATTTGTTAAATGAAGTTTGATATATGTTTTGTAAATAGATACAGTTTTATAATTGGTAGCTCAGATTATCAACTTAGCTTGTTAGTGGCTGTATCCTCAAAGGGGGTTGAGGTAGCTTATAATTATTGTCCTCCTGAGAGGGTACGTAAGTCCCAAAACTTTCAAAGTAAAATGTAAATTTACCACATTTTAATCGTAGTATTTTTGTTCTTTTAACTGCCGGCTAAATTTTCCTACAATCGCCAGCGGCTCAAGGGATGGTGTAAATCCAGCTAGGGCCCATGCAGGTAGCAAAAGTAATGTAAGTCCCCATGGATTCTAGGATGGTAATGTGCCTTCACTTGTTGGCGATCTATAACCCGTGTTGTCTTCTTTAATTGGGATGTTTTAGCTTTGCTCGCTAGCTTTATATTCATATCTGTGATTTTCTAGTATTTTAACTGAACATCGTTGACAGGTTTTAATCTTTAAAATGCTTTCACTTTATATTGTATAACTTTTTTCGTCACGATATGGCTGTGATATTGCCGATGTGACGTTAAATATTAACTCACTCACTCACTGACTGAGCAGGAACGTACGTTAGATAAGCATAACATATCTGTAAATGTATTGGTAAAATCGGTATCACTGACACTTCTCGTGATCCCATCTCCATGGCAGGTAACTCAGGATGGAGCCGTGTTCGGAAACTTGAACATCGAGAACGTTACAAAGACAATATGAACGCCTTCGATAGAGTTAACTGAAATTGGCTCGGTAAAACCTTATGAAGCTTGGTATAATTGGACAATTTTATCATGCACTTAAATTAGTGTGTGAGAATAACAATTCATGTATTTGTACAAATGGAAACTTCACCAATTTCCCCATATTTCCAAAGCGTTAAACCATGTTCTTTTTTCATCAATGATTGGGCTCATTAAATTTACGATTTAAACAGGTAAGGAGTCATGCTTAGTTTGTCTTTTGGCACAGCGCAAATCACAGAGAACGAACACTCTTTCCGTTAATGCAGGATTGTGCTAAGAGTATGTCAGGTGGAGATTACAAATGGTTTGTTGAAATAACATTGTTAACTATAAACTGCCTTCTGTTGCTGATTCTTGCGTTAGATTGTGCATATAAATGCCTTGGCATCACAGGCCCTCGTGTCTTTGCGAGGATTAATTATTTAATAAATATTGTTTTTGAGATGACCCCGACTCAAAATGCTTCACAGTACAATACATCATGACAAGGCCGGACACTTCGGTGCACCCCACCCTAATGCTTTGCCGATCGCTACGCTACCATCGCATGCAATCAATTAAAACTTAATGGAAACATAATCATGAATGATTGGCCTATCGAACACCACCTAGGGCCCATACAGGTAGCAAAAGTAATGTAAGTCCCCATGGATTCTAGTATGGTAATGTGCCTTCACTTGTTGGCGATCTATAACCCGTGTTGTCTTCTTTAATTGGGATGTTTTAGCTTTGCTCGCTAGCTTTATATTCATATCTGTGATTTTCTAGTATTTTAACTGAACATCGTTGACAGGTTTTAATCTTTAAAATGCTTTCACTTTATATTGTATAACTTTTTTCGTCACGATATGGCTGAGATATTGCCGATGTGACGTTAAATATTAACTCACTCACTCACTGACTGAGCAGGAACGTACGTTAGATAAGCATAACATATCTGTAAATGTATTGGTAAAATCGGTATCACTGACACTTCTCGTGATCCCATCTCCATGGCAGGTAACTCAGGATGGAGCCGTGTTCGGAAACTTGAACATCGAGAACGTTACAAAGACAATATGAACGCCTTCGATAGAGTTAACTGAAATTGTCTCCGGTAAAACCTTATGAAGCTTGGTATAATTGGACAATTTTATCATGCACTTAAATTAGTGTGTGAGAATAACAATTCATGTATTTGTACAAATGGAAACTTCACCAATTTCCCCATATTTCCAAAGCGTTAAACCATGTTCTTTTTTCATCAATGATTGGGCTCATTAAATTTACGATTTAAACAGGTAAGGAGTCATGCTTAGTTTGTCTTTTGGCACAGCGCAAATCACAGAGAACGAACACTCTTTCCGTTAATGCAGGATTGTGCTAAGAGTATGTCAGGTGGAGATTACAAATGGTTTGTTGAAATAACATTGTTAACTATAAACTACCTTCTGTTGCTGATTCTTGCGCTAGATTGTGCATATAAATGCCTTGGCATCACAGGCCCTCGTGTCTTTGCGAGGATTAATTATTTAATAAATATTGTTTTTGAGATGACCCCGACTCAAAATGCTTCACAGTACAATACATCATGACAAGGCCGGACACTTCGGTGCACCCCACCCTAATGCTTTGCCGATCGCTACGCTACCATCGCATGCAATCAATTAAAACTTAATGGAAACATAATCATGAATGATTGGCCTATCGAACACCACCTAGGGCCCATACAGGTAGCAAAAGTAATGTAAGTCCCCATGGATTCTAGTATGGTAATGTGCCTTCACTTGTTGGCGATCTATAACCCGTGTTGTCTTCTTTAATTGGGATGTTTTAGCTTTGCTCGCTAGCTTTATATTCATATCTGTGATTTTCTAGTATTTTAACTGAACATCGTTGACAGGTTTTAATCTTTAAAATGCTTTCACTTTATATTGTATAACTTTTTTCGTCACGATATGGCTGAGATATTGCCGATGTGACGTTAAATATTAACTCACTCACTCACTGACTGAGCAGGAACGTACGTTAGATAAGCATAACATATCTGTAAATGTATTGGTAAAATCGGTATCACTGACACTTCTCGTGATCCCATCTCCATGGCAGGTAACTCAGGATGGAGCCGTGTTCGGAAACTTGAACATCGAGAACGTTACAAAGACAATATGAACGCCTTCGATAGAGTTAACTGAAATTGTCTCCGGTAAAACCTTATGAAGCTTGGTATAATTGGACAATTTTATCATGCACTTAAATTAGTGTGTGAGAATAACAATTCATGTATTTGTACAAATGGAAACTTCACCAATTTCCCCATATTTCCAAAGCGTTAAACCATGTTCTTTTTTCATCAATGATTGGGCTCATTAAATTTACGATTTAAACAGGTAAGGAGTCATGCTTAGTTTGTCTTTTGGCACAGCGCAAATCACAGAGAACGAACACTCTTTCCGTTAATGCAGGATTGTGCTAAGAGTATGTCAGGTGGAGATTACAAATGGTTTGTTGAAATAACATTGTTAACTATAAACTACCTTCTGTTGCTGATTCTTGCGTTAGATTGTGCATATAAATGCCTTGGCATCACAGGCCCTCATGTCTTTGCGAGGATTAATTATTTAATAAATATTGTTTTTGAGATGACCCCGACTCAAAATGCTTCACAGTACAATACATCATGACAAGGCCGGACACTTCGGTGCACCCCACCCTAATGCTTTGCCGATCGCTACGCTACCATCGCATGCAATCAATTAAAACTTAATCGAAACATAATCATGAATGATTGGCCTATCGAACACCACTCATGACACCTACCAATTCTTTATTGTTATTTCTGCAAGTCGATTGAACCCCGATTTTGACTCTCAACTAAACGATCTTGACACAAATGGTTGACGATATATCCGCACAAAACGGTGGTGTGGTCGAATCAAGCCTTCTGGTTGGTCAACGCTGCTAAATCTGAACATTCTTAATAAATTCTCGGGAAGTTTTACTTTCATCTACTGATTGACTTGGAAAGAAATGTAAGATTTTTTTTCCAGCAATGGCTTCTCAAAAGAAAGCATCATTAGTAAGTGTCTCCTTAACAAACATCAACCAACCAGAGGGTTTGCGTCGACCACACCCCCGTTTTGTGCGGATATCTCGTCAGCCATTTGTGTCAAGATCGTTTAGTTGGCAGTGTTCAACCTGCAGAATTACCAGTATTGTCATATCTGGGCAATGCGATAAATAAAATTTTAATCACCTACAGTTGCTTGTCCATGACATTTACAACGAGTTTGACTTCCAGAATTATAATAACAGACTTCCTCTGATTCCGGAAAACTTGATGGAGATGAGTTAAGGTCAGTTTGTTGTTGAACACAGCACTATTCCAATATTCCAGCTATATTAGAGTTCTGTAAATATACGATCAGTGATCAACAGCATGAACATTGATCTACGCAACTGGGATACGATGACATGTGTCATGGGTTACTGAAGATCAATTGTAACCCGAATCTTCATGGGTTGATGAGTTGAGGACTTCATATGGATACCCTAATGTGATATTCTGGATAGATCGTAATGTGTGCTTGCTAAGTTACGTTGTTACACACTTCCTCTAGAAATTGAAGAAATCGATGTTGACGCCCCGCAACTGGTCTTTACGTACTTGAATTGTAATTTTGTGAGAAAGAAACTCACAATTTGATCAACTGAGAATTATATTCTTCTCAGATATGAATTCAGCGAAAAAGCGTCTTTATTGTACAACCCCTTCAGGAATATGTCTCCCACTGACCCAGTTGTCTTTAAACTGTTTGGGATACATAAGGTCCATCTCCCGCCGTAACTGTATCCTCCATGTATAGACGGAGGAAGAACTTCACCTGAATACTTACCCACAACCGGCCTGGGGCTTTATGTCCCATTATCCTAATGATCGTACTGTGTAACTTAAAACTAATGTTAGTGACAAGAACTAAAACTACCATTGCTTCTTTGGAAAAAAACACGTTTGCATTTGTATCCTATATCATATGTCTAGGGACTTATATGTAAATAGTCATTTATCTTTCTTACTAGTCTATATCCTAATGTATTTACTTTTCGTATGTGTCTCATAAACCATTTCACAACTCACAATTTTACCATATATGTTGATTTTTTTTCAATATATATAGGTATGTATTTCTGTATGTGGGAGATGACGGTGAGTTGTTTGGCACAATGTTAAACTACATTCTGGTCTGACCTGATATCTTCTCATAATTAGTTGAATATGTTCACATTGAATGGCAGTAGTAAACAAGCTGACACTTTGAGATAATCATTATAATTATGTACCATCCATACTACAGACTTTGTTATCTTTGGCATCACCCATTGCTGCTAACACTTAAGCTTCAGAAACCTAGCTGTCTAATATTGTCCTGAGAGAAATGCTTGACAGATATAGAACAATAAACTATCATTTCCATCGAGACTTTCATCTCTTGAAATATACATAAGCCTTTCTATATCTAGGTCATCTTCAGCTCTTCCTAAATCAAAATATTTTACTAGTTTCCAGACAGTTTTCGGACAGTCTCTGTTCTCGTAGGAAGGGATTTTTGAGATATTTCTTATATGATTTATTTTTACTTTTGTAGAGTTGAATATACAAGTACCAACTCGTCCAAACGAAACTGTGTTTATTGTTTTGCTCTTAAATCGCCCATATTGACATTTTCTCTTTTGATTAAGTTTTCGCGCTTTTGGCAATTTTTATCAAACAAGGGCAGGTACCGTTTATCCTTTTTATGACGACGGTTGCGTTTCTTTCAAACAAATCGTTTTTGGTTTGGAAAGTGTTCAGCAGTATTGTACAAAGTATGTTTAATGTAATTGTCATATCGCTTATGAAGGCAGTTTGTCTACATTACACATGGATGCTTTCAACAAGTGTGTGTGCCTGTCACGTTGTCAAAGTTTATCTACAACCTGATGCAAAACACTTGTATCTTAAATCATAGTGTAACCCATGTTACATTTGGGAATATATTTTCGAACCCACACCCTCAGACTCAGGCACCTAATCGCCAGCACAAAAAGTCAGCCATCTGACCCACTCAGTCACAGCTTTTAATGACAGCACTCACGAAATCATCAATATATACGCATGTTTTATCATTGATAAACAATTCTAAAACTACCATCTACATCTGAAAAGCAGTTGATAGAGTCACAGCCCTAGCCCAATTACACGTGAATTTGCTGCTTTCCAGTACAGTAACAAGGCGGACAGTTACAACAGCAAACTTGCGTACATAGTGATATCAGTTCGAACCTATAACTATTAGACCCAGAATCAGTTTCACGTATTTCAACATACAGATTCTGGTGAACTGCAAATATTTTTCACCAGATCTGCATTTTCTCTTGTTCATGTAGACAACAGTCTGAAAGGTCTGTTGCGTCCATGTCAGGTGTCCCTGTTTCCGTAAAATAACGTTAAGGCTATTACTTATCTTAATAAAATTTAGATTAAGAAGTTTGGCAACAATTTTTTAAGGATAGCACAGTTGATAATACTGTCTGTATGTACACTCTCCCCAGAAAGGAACGCATATGTGTCTTTTCACGAATTT